TTGTATTTGTCACTTTTATACTTTTTGAATTAACTAATTAGTTTTATTTACTAATATTATCTTCATCTTAAATAACATCGTTCTCTTTGGAATCTGTTTTAGCTTGTGGCTCTGTCTTGTGCTGCTTTTAGCTACTGCTGCATTTTAGCTTGAACGCACTGTTTAGCAAAGTTTTAGTTTGTAGCTATGGTTTTTCAACAGTTTTTTTTTTTTATCCAAAAGCTAAAATGTGGATGTTTTATATATATTTTTTTAACATACAAGACTTTTGAGTTGGTTTTGTTAGCGACTATTTTATTGACTTTTAGCTTTTAGCTATGGTTTAGCTAATTTCAGCTTTTGGCTGTGGTTTGGCAACATTTAACTCGAGCTACTGTTTTGTAAATTCATGTAGCTACATCAAAGTTCACGCTCAATAATCCAGGTAATAAATCCAACAAAGGTAAGTCAGGTCCTCTGGATGGTTTCTTTGTGTTGAAACCTGTTGGATTTTTTTTAACCTGGATTATTGAGCATGAACTTTGATGTTTTGAAAAACTTTGGCCATGGCTGCCTCAGAGGAGTCGACGGGGGAGAGGGCGGACTCCAGAAACCATTTTATCACTTTCAAACTGGTTTGCCCACTAAGTGAGTGTGCTGCTTGTGGGACTGGGTTTGTTGGTGGCTCCTCGGACTGATGAAGTCCTGTGGATGAAAGATTACATGTTTCAGCACAAAGAAACCGCCAGAGAACCTGACTTAACTTTGCTGGGTTATGTAGCTGTAGCTACAGTTTTAACCTACAATAAAAGCTAAATTATAGAAAATTCTAGCTTTTAGTATTTTGCTAAATTTACCCTTTAGCTACTGCTTTGCTGACTTTAGCTAGTTTAACTGTATTACCTTTTAGCTACACTTTAGTTTTCTTTTTCCCGTTTTTTTTGGTCTACATCAAAATCCACAATTATCTTAGCCTTAGCTACTCTTTTGCTCATTTTAATATTTTTTTTGTGCTTATTTTAGGTTTAGGTTTTTATTTTTTTACCTACTTTGTAAAAATGATGTTGCTTTAACTACATATTTAATCTATAATAAACTAAAATTTAGCCAATTCTAGCTTGTGATGGTTTGAGCTTTTAGCTACTGTTTTGCTGATTTTAGCTTTTAGCTACTGTTTTGCTGATTTTAGCTTTTAGCTACTGTTTTGCTGTTCTGCTTGTTTTTAATAATTCAGCATATTTCTGTTGTCATTCAGGTCTTGCTGCTTTTAATAAAATTTTAATCCAAATAATTTAATGTATTTTAGAGTTTTATTGGTTTAAATCTTTTTTGTTAACAAAAGCTACAGACTATATAAGGTTGTTTTGATTTTGTTAAAAGGTAAACAAACCGTTATAATATAAAATCAATTTTTAAAAAATAAGAAGGTTTTTCCTTCTTTTACTGCTTTGGCTCAACATGGTTATAATTGGGTTTCTGGTAGTTCTGCACGCTTTAATCTAATCCAGGAGAGGTAATCTGGACGTTGCTTCATGTTGGCATGGCAACACTTAATCACCAGTTATTTTTTACATATTCAGGTGAGATAAAAACCTGCTGGACTCTTGCATCAGCGTGTTTTAGCTCACACAGATAACATCTCTGTGTGTTTGGATTTTCCAGGAGAGAAAAACAAATCGGCGTTTATTGTTGGATTATCGGCGTCAGGAGTCCGCGTTCTGTCGGCTCCTCTGCGCAGCTGCTCCATCAGTGAGATTAGGTGCGCCGATGTTATCAAGGGTGGCGTTCTGCAAAAAGCAGATGTGGCACAACATCTGCCCTCAGTGTGTCCTTTCTGCTTCAGAGGCTCATGAAGAATGGCTCGTTGTGTTTCACTCCCTGGGTTCATTTTAGATCGTGACCTCTTATCTGATTTTTCAGTGAAAAGGTTTCTGTTTCACCTTAATGAGTGACTTTTTAATTTATTGTAAGAGTGTAGACAATTCTTAAAAAAAAAAAAAAAAGCCTAGATGTGAAATTATTGATAAATAACTGGAATTTTGGGGTTAAATCTTCATTCGTGTCTGGGTTCTTACTGTTGTATTACTTTTCTATTTATTTATACGTCTTCAACTGTAAAGTGTAATCTGCTCTTTTAGTTTCAGTTAAGTAGCAGTTAAAGTAGATTACGCAGTCATTTGATTTGTGTAAAATGTTATTTGGCGTTTCATCAAGTAAAGAATTCATCCTGTTGGATAAAAAGTGCTGCGGTTGCAGTACTGTGATCACAGGGTGGGTTTGGTGCAGTGGTTGGAAGGTCATCTTCTTGTTGAAGGGTCGGGGGTTTGATCCCGAGCCCCTGCAGCTCGCCAAAGAGGGCCAGCTTTCTGCGTGTTCTAGACGTTTCTCTGCTCCGACGCCTGAACGATTAACGAGCTTCTGCAGAACTTGAAGAACGGGGAAACGATTAAAACATGCAGGATGGTGGTCCTCCAGGACATGTGTTGGGGCACCACCAGCTTACACTAATGAACGTATGCATATTTTCCAGAGGCAGCCAAAAGAGCCGCCCTAAAACAAACTAATTTAAAGCATCAACTAAAATGCTGTTGAAGGTTCTCAGTCGTCCAGGTCACGATCGATTAACAGAAGTTTAAAAACAAAACGTCTGGACTAACCAGACCTAATGCTGCATTGTAAGTTTTAGAACGTTTAAATCTGAGACCTGATCCTCAGTTTAAAGTTGTTTTTTCTCCTTTGAGATAAATGTCTTCCTTCACCCCCCCCCCCTCTCTAACCATCTGTCTAAAACATGAACATTTTGCTCCTCATCCCTGAGGTGTTGCTGGACCTCTGAGTCTGGTCCCGACGAGCTGGTCTCCCATGTTCAGCTGCTTTTCAGCTGTTTGTTGCTAATTTCGGCTCTTTTCAGATCAATTCCACTTTTTTCTGCTCATTTCTGCTTCTTTCAGCACACACGTGTTCTTTCTGTTTTTCTTATGCATTTTATTTTTTTTTAAGCTAATTTCAGCTGTTTTCAGATAAATTAAATTTTTTTGTGGTAATTTCTGCAACTTTCAACCTAATTAATTTATTTCTGCTAATTTCAGTTTGTTATGCACCTTTCAGCTTTTTTCCGCTATTTCAGCTGCTATTTAGCTTTTTATGCGAATTTTAGCCTTTTCAGCTAACGCCACCATCGTCTGAGCTAATTTCAGCTCTTTCCACGTCCTATTAGTTTAAGCTTCTTTTTGCCTTTGCATCTTCTTTTCAGCCTTTTTTTTGGTGCTAATTTCAGCTTTTTGTTTTTAGCTAATTTCTTAATTTTTGTGCTAATTTCTGCTCATTTATATCTACTTCAGCAACATGTTCTTTCTGCTTTCTTCTGCTACTTACCATAAAGCTTCTTCTTTCATCTCAGCTATAATTCAGCATATATTTTTAGGTAATTTCAGCTGTTTTTCAGCAAGTTCTTCAGCAATAAGCACTGACACTGCATTTTCGCAGGAAATGCAATTTCTCTAGTTAATTTTTTGAATGTGTAAAATATTAAAAACAACCACTGAAAGTTTATTTTGTGCTGTTTTTGACAGGGATGTGGGCTCACGCTCTGACTGTACAAGACTACCAGGACCTCATCGATCGAGGATGGAGAAGGTGAGTTTTTTAATCCTTGTCGTGGACAAAAGGAGATTTCCAAACAGGTCATCAGATTTATTTACAAAGCTTTGGAGAACAGTCCAGCGTTCACAGAAGATCAATGCACTTACAAGACCACACTCTTATCAATGCCCTCATCCGTCTGAAACCATGACCTGCTCTGACTTTCTGAACCGGACGAGTTAAGTTTTATGGAATAACCTCCGGCCCTCAGCGTCCCCCTCCATGTCTGAGCTCATCAGAAGGTCCACCGCAGACAGGAAGGAGTGGATCTGAGTCAAGGACTCTTCTTCAAGACACGTCACCGTATCATATCAATATCTTATCAGTCGAACCTTGAGGATAATAAAACTAGTCCTGGTTGTTCCATGGAGCACCATCGTTCTTATCACAGCACAGAAAGGTGGAGCATGGTGACTGTAAATAATAAACGTTACCATGACAACCTTTTGTCCATCAAAGAAAGACGGGAACAAATGAAAGCATCGATGGCGTGCTGCGCTAATGTCTGTTCTACCGATGTTTTGTGTTTTTGCTCGTCATCTTTTTACCGTTTATGGTCACCGTCGCTTTTTAATTGTGATTTTAGATCTTTGCACGAATGCTTCAATCCAAGTTTTGTCTGTGTTGTGTCTCCGCTCGATTTGTGGTTCTTTGAAGCTCACGTTTAGTGAGACAGCTGTGGCTGAGTGGATGGAGCGGTCGTCCTCCAATGGGAGAGTTGGGGGTTCGGTTCCACCATTAGTCACATGTTGAAGTGTCCCTGGGCAAGACTCTGAACCCCTCATTGCCTCCGATGTGTGTATGAATGTGATAAAGCTCTGATTAATCTCTACAGATTCAGATTAGCTTAGTATAGATCTAGTAGAGAGCTGTAGGAATGTGTGGATGAAGCACAGATTGTGTTGAGTATCTTGATAAGATAGAAAGTATCTACACAAGTACAGCCCATTTACCGTTTATTAAGGGTTGCTCAAGGTCTCATCGGGCTACGCCTGATTGGAGTCGCAACGTTCTCGAGTGTCACGCTTGAGTCGTGGAGCCTCGCAGTCCTGACGCTTCCGCTTTCAAACATGTTACCAAAAAAAAGGGACATTTGTGCAATAATTTTTTGATCCAACTAGTCGCTGGAGCATCTCGAGCTCTACTCAATTTCGTGAAAAACGTCTCCGGCTCGTCTCAAGAAGCTAAAGTTGTGGTTTGTAGAGTTTCTGCAGGTTTTACATTTACTATTCTCAATTTTAAGCCTTAAAAAGTCTTTCATTTGTCCATATTTGTCATTTTAGGTCTTAAAGTTAATTTAGGTGAGCTCCTTTTAACAAAGTGATCTACGTTTACACAGAGCAACCTCTGGAAATGTTGGTGTTTTTTCAGTATTTATTGGGGGGATAAACAAAAAATAAGTGGGTTTGCACAAAATCTCTGTAGTTTCCATGTCAGTCGGGTTGCCAGATAATTATTATTATAACTTTTTAATGCCATGTGATCGACCGGTAGATCGTGATCGACAAATTGGGCACCCTGCCCTTATTCAATTCAGTAATACTTTATTAATCCTAAAGGGAAATTAAATGTTGTAACATTATCCTAATTTCATTAAGAGATGTTATGGATACTGAAGGTTGTAGGCAGGAAGGATCTCTTGTAAAGGTCCGTCTCACAGCGTGTCAGAAGAAACTGGCTGCAGACGCCATCTGATCCACGCACCTGGTCTCTGCTGGCCTCTCAGTTCCCTCTGGGCTGCAGGACTGCCTGAATGCCAGCAGAACTCCTCCCAGAGTTATGGCCACTCCTCAGCCCGCCGAGCTCCTCGTTGCTGTGGACAGCCAGCTGCAGGTGCCAGGGGACGATCCTGGGCCTTCTGCTGTCACGAGCCGTGCTCCCTGCTAGTTCCATGATCTCTTTAGGAGACCTTAGGATCTCAGTGGTCAGACACTCGAGCACAGCTGGCAGAGAGACAGGAATGCATCCATGGCGCCTCCTTTTCAGCTCATTTGATATTTGGCACTGTAGCTGAGATGTTATTTGAGCTTTGGAGGTGTTAATCAGCTGATCCCGGTTGTAAACACCTTGTTGTCATGGTTGCGCATCATAACAAATGTCCAAAAGTATAAGTTTCAGTAAAAATCCTTCCAGCTGCACAGGATCCGATACCAGAGGAAACGATCATCAAAAATAAAAAGGGATTTACATCCAGAAAAAGAGGAATTAAAGTTTCCAAAAGCAAAATCTCAGAATGAAAGTAACAGAGCTGCTCCCGACATGCAGCCTCCCCGAGCGCCGCAGTTCTAGAACTACTTCTAGATTATTACAGTGCCTTGCGAAAGTATTCACCCCCCTTGAACTTTTCAACCTTTTGCCACATTTCAGGCTTCAAACATAAAATTATAAAATTTAATTGTTTGTGAAGAATCAACAACAAGTGGGACACAATCGTGAAGTGGAATTAAATTTATTGGATGTGTCAAACTTTTTTAACAAATAAAAAACTGAAAAGTGGGGCGTGCAGTATTATTGGGCCCCTTTACTTTCAGAGCAGCAAACTCAGTCCAGAAGTTCAGTGAGGATCTATGAATGATCCAAGGTTGTCCCAAATGACTGATGATGATAAATAGAATCCACCTGTGTGTAATCAAGTCTCCGTATAAATGCACCTGCTCTGTGATAGTCTCAGGGTTCTGTTCAAAGTGCAGAGAGCATCATGAAGACCAAGGAACACACCAGACAGGTCCGAGATACTGTTGTGGAGAAGTTTAAAGCCGGATTTGGATACAAAAAGATTTCCCAAGCTTTAAACATCCCAAGGAG